CCCACCCCTTCCGCAGCTGGGAGCCTGGATTCTGGTCCCAGTGCCCTTGGGGCCTGTGTTGTGGGTGTTTATTTGGGGTGGCAGGGCAAGGTTCTTTTTCCTTTGGGGCTCTTATTAAACAAGCACCTTGCTCCCCTGGGAAAAGAGAACCAGAACACAGGCCAGGGGGCCCTTTGCTGCTGACTCCAAGGGTGCCCCCTCAGCCCTCGGGGCTAGTCGCCTCCTTCTCCTGCTGTTACCCATGAAGGTGGGGAAGATCTGGTCCCTTCCGTACAAGTTTCCCATGGATGTCATAATAAATTGCCACCAGCTGGCTTAAAACAACCGAAATGTATTCTTTGCCAGTTCAGAGGCCGCAAGTCTGAAACGACACCCTCCCTGACTCTCCGGGAGAGGCTCCATCCTGTTCTTCCAGCTCCTGGAGACCCCTGGGTGCCCCAGGCATCTCTCGGCTCCAAGGAAGAGCCACCTGTGCCTTGCCCCTAGGGATGGTGCTACCTCAAAGCCCCTCTGCCCCGGGACAATTTCTTTACCTTACAGAGGAGGAAACTGACGTGCAAAATAAGGTCCCCACAGTAGGAAGCTGGGGGTCTAGACACCAGCCTGGGATAACCCCGAGCTCTGTGCTAAGAATTTTCCTAAGAATCCTGGGGACCAGCAGTTGGAGTAATAGCTATGTCACTGGACTCCCATGTAGTCGACTGCGGTTTGAGTCCTGGATCTGGTGGCTTACACTCATGCCGGGCGCATGTGTGCGTGTGTCCAAGATCCTGAGAGGAGAACGGAGGAGAAGGGATTATGGTGTGGCCATCCCCCCTGGGGGGTGATTTCTCGCTTTCTGTCTCTCTCTCTCTTTCTGGTGAGCGCATGCGCCCTACAGCAAAAACCTTGCAAAAAATATATACAGTATGTATATATAAATTCTCCTAAGAATCCTAACAGGGTTCTCACTCCCATCCTCCCAGCCCAGCTATGCCTGCTGTGATGAGGGTGGGGCTGGGGGCTACGCAGGACAGCCAAGGGGGAGCAGGGAGCCTCTCCCCAGCAAAGTCCTGAGGATAAACCCCTGCCCCTTGGGGGAATATAAGGCCACTGGTAGGGTTGCCTGGAGAGCACTCTGGAGGCCTGCTGCAGACCTGATGCTCCCTCCTGGTGCCCGACTGGCCTGGGGTGGCAAGTGCTTGCCAGGCTCTTCTCTCTTCGCCCTGCAACTAATTAGGCTGTCCCTCCACTTCATCCCCTGCTCTGCTCCATTACACGTTTAAATTGGGATTCAAACATAGGTGATATACAAAGAAGTCTTAAAACTCAACAGCAAGAAAACAAATAACCCATCCAAAACATGGGCGAAAAGCCTAAACAGACACTTCACCAAAGAAGACAGGCAGATGGCAAGTAAAGTGTGAAAAGATGCCCCATGTTATATGTCATCAGGGGAATAGCAATTAAAACAATGAGATGCCGCTACATGCCTATTAACGTGGCTGAAATCCAGAATGCTGACATCACCAAATGCTGACAAGGACATGGAGCAACAGGAACACTCGTTCAGCGCTGGTGGGAGTGCAGAAGGGCATGGCCACATGGCAGACAGCTTAGCAGTTTCTTACAAAACAGAACATACTGGGACCAACAGTTAGCGTAATGGCTATGTTGCTGGACTCCCATGTAGTCAACCACAGTTCGCGTCCCGGACCCGGGGGCTTAAACTCACGCCGGGCGCGTGTGCATGCGTGCCCAAGATCCCGAGAGGAGAACGGAGGAGAAGGGATTGCGGTGTGGCCATCCCCCTGGGGGGTGGTTTCTCGCTTTCTGTCTCTCTGTCTCTGTCTGGTGAGCGCACGCGCCCTATAGCAAAAACCTCTCAAAAAAAAAAAAAAACCAGAACATACTATTAACCATAAGATCCAGCAATCGTGCCCCTTTGCATTTACCAGAGAAATTGAAAACTTACGTCCCACAAGAACTTGTGCGTGAATGTTTACAGCAGCTTTACTCATTATTGCCGAGCTGCGGAAGCAGCCAAGGTGTCCTTGAGTAGGTGGGCAAATAAACGAACTGGCCCATCCAGACAACGGAGTGCTACCAAGGCATGAAGGAACCAGAGGAACCGTCAGTGCCTGCTCCTGAGCCAGAGGAGCCGACGTGAAAAGGCTGCATATGGTGTGAATTCCAACTACACGAATTCCGAAAAAAATTATAGAAACGGTAAAAAGATTAGGGGTTGAGGGAGGGAGGGGGATCAGACAGTTGGAGCACGGCAGATTCTGAGCAGAGAAACAAGTCCATATGGCCCACAGGGTGGATACATGTGTCACACATTGGCCAAAACCGTGGACTGTGTGCCACGAGCAAAGCCCGGGGTAAACCGTGGACTTGCATTGATGACATCGGGTCGGTGCAGGTTCATAGATGCTCACAGGTGTGCCACTCTGGTGGGGGCTGTGGGCAGTGGAGGAGGCACCGCATATGTGGGGGGAGAGGGACACGGGAAATCTCTGTACCTTCCACTCAAACTGCTCAAAAGAATAAAGTTGATTGGAACCAGCAGTTAGCGTAATGGCTATGTCGCTGGACTCCCACGTAGTCGACTGTGGTTCACGTCCCAGAACCGGTGGCTTAAAACTCACGCCGGGTGCGTGTGCGTGCGTGCCCAAGATCCCGAGAGGAGAATGGAGGAGAAGGGATTGCGGCGTGACCATCCCCCCAGAGGGTGATTTCTCGCTTTCTGTCTCTCTGTCTCTGTCTGTCTGGCGAGCACATGCGCCCTATAGCGAAAATCTCTCCAAAAAAAAAAAAAAGAATAAAGTTTATTAAAAAGAGAAAAAAAGGAGACTCAGTTCCCAAAGGAAGGCACTGGCCACCATCTTCCTGCTGGCATGGCAAGTAGGCAGGAACCTCCGAAAGTTCATGGAAAACGTTAACTAGGAGTTTATTGGGCCAGTGGAACCGTGGTTAAGGAAGCTGGTCCCCCATGACTGACTGTACGATTCGAGTCTCAGATCAGGGGGTTTGAAAAACATGCCAGGTACGCGTACACGTGTGCCCAAAATCCCAAAAGGAGAAGGGATTGAAGCATGGCCATTCCCCATTGGTCTGTCTGTCTCTCTCTCTCTCTCAAGCAAGTGCACACGACTTCTGGCACAATTTTAAGTATGGGCATGTCAGTGCGAAAACTGCTGAAATCCAAGTGGTCTTTTGCAGTACACACTCCCCACGCACGTTCTGAAGACTCCCTACCCCACCCCAACACTTGATTCAGCTGCTCTGCACTCCGCCTCTCCGCGGCAGTGGAGAGAGAGACCAAACAGGGAGAGAGCGAGACCGGGGCCCATGTGGGATGAGCAAGGCCCTCGGTCTCCCGGGCTCCAGGGAGGAGCAGGAGGACTTCCGGCAGCCCGTAGCTGGATCTCTGTCAGCAGCTGGTTATGTGAGGCCTCGCACCTGACATTACACGTTAGGACAAAAAATTTAATAATAATAATAAAAAAAAAGACAATTGTCATTGCTACCTGTGTACTTAATCAATTAAAAATAGGTAGCACCAGGGCCAGCAGGTGGCATGGTGGTTGAGGTGCTGGACTCTCACATGGCAATCACAGTTCAAGTCCTGGCCCTGGCAGCTTGCTTTCTCATTTTCCCTCTCTTTCTGTCTCTCTCTGGTGAGCACATGTGCTCTATGGCAAATTTAAGAAAAAAATAAATAAATTAAATTAAATATTGGGTTGTCGGGAAAGTCATGACGCATTTTTGCATAGAAAAATAGAAAAATATGTCATGACTTTCCCACAACCTAGTAACTAATTCTGTAAAATAAATAGGTGGCAGGGTCTGGTGGCACGGTGCTGAAGGTGCTGAACTCCCGCAAGGCCCACCGTGGTTTGAGTTCCCAACCTGGAGGCTTCTTTCCTACTTTCCCTTTCTCTCTCTCTGGTCAACTTAAATAAGATAATTCTTAAAAAACAAACAACAGGCGGCAGCTGGGTATTGGCACCCTCGTGTTTGGAACTTGCATGTTCAGTGGTGACGGGTCTCCCTGGACTCTACCCAGGAGATGCCAGGAGCATGCCGGCCCCTCCCCAAACCGTGACAATCAAAGTGTCTCCTGGCACCGCCCCACATGGAGAACACCGAGCTGGAAGGGAGGGTCGCAAATACAGGGCCTCACAAGACCAAGAACTGGCCGCCAGGCGGGCGGTCCTCACAGTAACTCTGAAATGACTCCCACTTTGCTATAAGGTGCATGTGCTCGCCGGGAAGACAGAGAGACAGAGAGACAGAAAGCAAGAAATCACCCTCTCGGGGAATGGCCACTCCGCAATCCCTTCTCCTCCATTCTCCTCTCGGGATCTTGGGCACGCATGGATACGCACCCAGTGTGAGTTTAAGCCACTGGGTCCAGGACTCGAACCGTGGTCAACTACATGGGAGTCCAGCCATGACGCTAACTGCTGGTCCCATGACTCCCACTTTGTAGCAAATCCATCTCCTGCCCACAAGCTGTGACCTTGGGCAAGTCCCTTGAGCTCTCTGCACCTCCGTGTTCTTGTCTGTAGAGTAGGGATGGACCAGAACGTGCCAGGATGACTGAGCACCGCGAATGGAAACCCCGCGTCAAACTCGGCAGTGCCCCAGCACGGGAGACGCTCAGTCAGCACTAGCTCGGCTTCTTCTCGTTTTTTGCCTCAGGCTCTTATCAAACTGGGTTTGCTCTCTGACCTCCAGCTGGGGCAGAGGCCAGCCTGTGAGCCTGACCGGGTTCGACTCTGTCTGGCAGGGATCCCGCGTCTAGGAGGGTCCCTGGAGTCACACGGCAGGGGCAACTGGGCGGGGCACTTGTGTGCGCACCTTGAAGCAGAGAGCAGCAGCTTTGCAGGCCCGCATGCCCATGTGCTCTGAGCACCGTGGGGCAGGGGCTGGGGGCCCTATCCCTACCTTCTTCCCTGCGCCAGCCCTGGGCGTCCCAGGAAAGGATGAGAAATTGCACGGTTTCTCTTCTGCATCTCACATCCCAGTAAAATATTTATTATTTCAAGAAATAAATCTTTTAAAAAAGGAGAGAGAAAAGTGTGTCTCTATTGCTTTCCCCGACAGGACAGGTCCTTGGGAACTGCTGAGTTTCTGCTGCACAGGCCAGCCAGGCCAGGAGGGGCTCCCGTGGTAAGTGCCCCACCTTCGGCCCACAGCCGACCCTAGCCCTCCCGCCCCTCAGGATCCTGGGCCTGCCTTCCTGGAAAGATAAAGGGCCAGGCCTGGGTGGGTGGGGCAGGGAAGCCCAGAGAGGGAGTGGGATTAACAACCAGGGTGGGGTGGCAGTGTTCTGAAGGCCTGACCCTCTGATCAGGCGGGGCTCTGGGTATGGGGTACAGAGGAAGGGGACCCCAGGGCCTGGGCAGGCATGCCACATAGGGACGGCCAGTGGTCTGAAGCTGGAGGAAGCCAGTGGGGACGAGATGCAGCGTCGATGGGTGGGGGCTAGCTGGGGCCAGTGGCATCAGGCTGGGCGTGCTGCGGGTGGAGAGCCTCCCAAGGCCTCGCCTTCAGACGATGCCGAGCAGGGGCAAGCACAGGGGAAGTAGCTGGTGCGGGAAGGACACTCCGAGTGGGGCTCCAGAGCCTGCCTCAGAGGCTGGGCTGGAAACCTGCTCCTTGGAGGGACAGGGACGGAGGCTTGGAGACAAACCCATGGTCTGGAGTTGCAGGTCATGCCAGATGGGTTTGGGGAAAAGCCCAGGGTGAGGAGCGAGGAACAAGCAGGAGGCAGACAGTTCAGGGGGGTCTGGGCAGTCCCCATGTCTCACTGGTCCCCAGGGGCGCGAGGAGGGGTAGGGGTAGGAGGGATGAGGTCAGGAGGAGCATGGCTGGTCCCATGACGCTCTGTCCACACCCTGGCTCAGAGGGACAGGCTGGCCCTGCGGGCAGTGCTCCCCTCACAGGAAGAGGGTGTGCCCCAGGCTCCCTCTCCACAACCTGCTCTCCAGGCCGTTTTCAGACCCTTCAGGGCCATGGCAGCATGGCCCCTGCCCCTACTTGTAAACCCAGAGGCCCTCTCTGGACCCAAGGATGCACGGGCCCCTTCTCCATCCGGTCCAGACCTGGCCTTGCACAACACAGAGGCCCCGCCTGCCTGCTCCGGCCCAGCAGGACATCTACACAGCCAGTGCCTCCTGGACTACTGTGCTGCCGCGGGTCCCAGCACAACACGAGGAGCCGTCGAGGGTGGGCCCCAGCGCTGCGGGGACGTGGCCCCCCAAACTGTGCAGGCTCTCCCCTCTGCCTGCTTCCTGGACAGACGGGACGCTTCAGCCTGGGGGAGCCGCTGGGCGAGCGGCCGGAGAGCGGACTCTGCTCGTGCTCCCTCTGTGCGGGCAACCTGGGCGCTCACAGACAGCTCTGGCACAAGGCCACTTGGCCCTTGCGGAAGTCACGGCAGGGGCAGAGCCGGCGGTACTTGGTGCTGGAGCCGGCGCAGCTGAAGAGCAGAGGCTCCCTCTGCAGGAAGCACTCCTGGCCGGGCTGTGCGAAGGCCGGGTACAGGTGGTTCATCTCTGACTCGGTGCTGTCGCAGGGCACCTGCAGCCTGGGTGGTGGCACATGGCTCCGTCAAGTGGTGCTCCACACTGAGGCCGAAGGGCCTGGCCTGTACTGCCCACCCCACCCAGACCTGGGAAGGAGCTGGCTACACCCCTGATCCCACTTGCTGTCGGGAGAGGAGGAAGGGGCCTGGCCGCCGCCCACCCTGGCCCAGAGCTGATGCAGCACGGGGTACATTCGGGTCTGGACGAGATGCCCAAAGGCTTGAGCAGGGGCTGAGGGAGGCAAGGGGGGCACAGCTGGGAGAGAGCCTCCCCTGCCGGTTTGGGGCTCTGCCAAGGTGTGGCAGTGGTGATGTGGTTCTGGATCCTTCCTGGCTGGCTGGCAAGCACTAAATCTCCCCCCAGCTGGCAGGGCTGAGGGCGGGGGTTCCAGAGTGAGCTACAGGCAAGTGGCTGGGTGGCCGAGAAGGGGCCCCACTCACTTGAGGAAGGCGTCACGGCTGTTGAGGAACGGGAAGAAGGAGGGTTCGCAGATGAGCCCATGGTCCAGGCAGGCATCCGTGCAGGCCCTCCCCGGGGCAGCCAGCCAGGCCCGCAGGGAGTGCGCCGGTGGCCAGGCCCCAGGCGCCAAGCTGGCATTGTGGGCCCACTCGAGGTGGGTGGCATTGGGGGCCAGGACGAAGGGACTCTGTGGGGCCTGGGCGGCTGGGGGGGCGGGGCCTGCGGCCGTGCAGAAGTCCTGCAGGAGGAGAGCAGGGTTAGGGAGGAGTGGGACACGGACACCCCAGTGACGCGTGAGGGCATGGCCACCACCACAGGGCACTCACTGGATGCCACGCAGCCGTCCCTCGAGCTGCCCACCCTGTGCACGTTAGCGCATCTCCAGGTCAGTCAGGACAGGAACGGCCGCTCCGAGGCCACAGGAGCTGCCGGGGGCCCATGGCTGCACAAGGCAGTGCCCACATGTGCCCATGCTGCTTAGGTCAGGCTCAGGGGCTCCGCCGGGGATCATGGCCTGCCCACCAAATCCCCGACGCTGGCCCAGTGCCGGGCAGGTGCTCAAGCAGAGATGGAGACAGGGCTGGCCCATGAGGCTTTCCCTGTGGGGATGCCCCGGGGCCTCAGGGCCCTGAAGGGCTTTTCTGTGGGCTTCACGTAACGCATCCCAGGAGCTGAGAGTCCTGGGTCCTGGCCCGCCCTGTACCCTGACTGTGTGACCCCAACAGCTCTCCCTCTGGGGCCTCTGTACTCCCATCTGTGAAGTGCCAGGGTAGGACCAGACTCTGGGTCCCTAACACCTGTGGGGCAGGAGCAGGTACAGAGAGGCGACACATATCTGAGGGTCTCCCAGCCGTGTACATCTGGCCCCGGCCATGCAGCCCACTCCCAGGTGTTGTCCAGGAGACCTGCATCTCGCCCATCTCCAGCCTCACCATGGGAGGAAGGACGGCCTGCTCAGCCTGGGCCATGCGGCCCCTGGGGCAGTTCAGGTCGCTGGGGTGTGCAGGGTGGGGAGTAGGGCAGCTCCCCTCACCCACACCTCGTCTGCCAGCCTCCAGGCATCCCGCAGGGAGGGGGTGCAGCTTCTGGGCCCCGCCCCATTGTCCTGTCAGACAGTCACTGGTGCGTGTGGGGTGGAGCGGGGGAGAGGCCAGGCTTTCCCAAGAACAGGCCCTTCCCAGTTTTCTCAGGGAAGAGGTCTCAACCCCAGTCTCACCAACTCACTTTACGAGGTAGAGGGAGCTGACATGGGGTGGTCTCAGATTCCCATTCACTCAGTTACTAAACTTTGAAACAAACTTTTTTTTTTTGAGAGAGATTTTTGCCATAGGGCGCGTATGTTTGCTGGAGAGACAGAAAGTGAGAAATCGCTCCCTAGGGAAATGGGCTTGCTACAGTCCCTTCTCCATTCTCCTCTCGGCATTTTGGATATGCACGCACATGCGCCTGGTGTGAGTTTAAGCCACCCGGTCCAGGACTCAAACTGTAGTCGACTATGTCGAAGTCCAGTGACATAGCCATATGCCATCTGCTGGTCCTACAAACTTTATTTCCAATAAACATTGTTCATGTTTGTGATACTGGGTGGGGATCTACAGCTGGGGGCCCAGACCAGGGGTCTCTCGAGCCCAGTCTCTGAGCATCATTGCTTTCTGGGCTGACATTCAGATGCGCCCATCTCCAGCCCCACTGTGGGAGGAAGGCCTGGGTGGGTGGAGACCTGGGAAGGCTGGGGTGGGGCGGGGGCGCCTGCCTGGTGCTGGATGTAGGTGTGGACCCGCTCCAGCATGCCCTCGCAGGTATGCTCATAGGGCAGGTAGGAAGGACGGGGCGGGTGGAGGACACTGGGAAGGCTGGGGTAGGGCAGGGGTGGACAGCAGGGGCACCTACCTGGTGCTGGATGTAGGCGTGGATCCGCTCCAGCATGCCCTCGCAGGTATACTCGTAGGGCAGGTAGGGGTCCACCTGTGGGAGGACAGGTGACACATGGGGCGGGAGCCCCAGCCAACTGGGACCCTGCTGCATGTGGGGCTGCGGTCCTGCAGGGAGCCCACTGCCCCTCCACCGGGTCTCTGCTCAGCTCAGAGTCCTATTTCTTGGTGCACCCTCCAGTAGCCCGTGGGGACTCAGGCTCAGTGTGCATGCTGAGTCCAGCCCACTGACCCCCACCTGTCTCCAGCCTCACCCCTCCTATGCCACCCCTGTCTCCACTCCCTGTCCCAACTGCACCGAGCTTCTCTCCTTCCTGAAGGCTCAGCACTCCATGCCTCCAGGACCATGAGGCTCCCACCCTGAGGCACCGTGTCCTCCAGGGAGCAGTCCTGAGCCCGCCCCTCCTGTTTCGGGACCCCTTTCCCAGCACGAATCAGCACCTACGTCCTCACTTCCTGTTCATTCCTGGTCTCTGGTGGGCGCAAGGGTGGGGACTGTGGGCACAGTGCCCGAGTGCACACAGTGGGTACCCAGCCCTGACTGAATCCCACCCAGAGGAGCACGGGGCCTCCCCGTCAGAGGGCACAGGCGGACAACTCCCAGCGGCGGGAGCTCCGTAAGGTACTTTCTAACGGTCCAACTGCTGCACACAACTCTCTCTGGGCAGGCGGCCGAGGAGCAGGGGTAGAGAGGGGAGTGATACGGAAAATGGGACCCCCACCTCCTCCCTCTCCCTGGACTGACCGGGCCATTATCCTCACAGGCCCAGCGCGAGGCCTGTGGGGAAAGTGCTGCCCAGACGGGCAGGAGGCAGGTGCAGCAGGGTCAGGGCATGGAGGAGACAGCCCCAGACGCAGAGAAAGGCCCGCTTTGGCCTTTGATCTCCCTGTTGCCCAGCACAGATGCTGGCAACACACCTAGCCAGCCACCTCCCGGCCATGCCCTCCTTGCCAGCCCCTGCAGAATCTGCAGCCTTCTGCCCACGTATTTCGTCCCTGAACAAGGGAGGCACAGAGCACCCAATGGGGAGACACTGCAACCCACCCCAGCTCAGCGGGCCCCATCAAGGGTACACCCCACCCCCCAGTGCACTCGGGGAGGTCTCTGGGTGCCAACCCAGACCCTTCCCACATGGGTCAGTGCCACAGTTTCCAGCTATGTCATTGTCTGGCCCTTTAAAGCCAGTCATCCTTCTCCTAGGTGGGGACCCCCAGGTTCACCCAAGCCTGCATCCTCTCCTTCCTTCCTGTAGACCCCACCTCTCAGGGGTAGAGACTGAAGGCCCACCCTGGGCTGGCTGAGGGACACTCCAGACACTCCAGGGTCCCAGGGAAGCCACTGCTCCCCTGGACCTGGTCTTGGCCACCAGAACTGACAAGACAGTGCCACCCACCTGATCGTCACCCCTGGGCACTGGGAGAGTAGTCCTCCAGGGCAGGGCGGGAGTCCCAGAGAAGCCCAGCCCTGTCGCAGCCATTGCACTCATGCTCACGCTCACGCTCACGCTCGCACTCACGCTGCCGCTGCCAGGTGCAGCAGCCTTCCCAGCCCCTGCTCCCCAGTGCTGCCCTGCCTCTCTGGCTCCTGGACGCTGCCCAAGAAGGCTCAGAGGCCGCTGCAGCCCCAGTGGGTTCCCCACACTCAGGACAAAGTCCTAGGAGCCTCTGTTTCCCAAGGGGCCAGTGCAGGGTCTCATAGGGACAAGGCTCCAAACCAGTTATAAATAAAAGCCCCAGAGAGATTCTCCCCTCCGAGATTGCTCCCCCTGCTCCGTGACAGCGAATCCCTGAGTTCCTCCCTGTCAAGGCAACTCAGAGGCCCTGCGTGAAGGGAAGGCTCCAGCCCACCATGAATCTCCCGCCGGAGGAGCCAGCCGCCTGGAAATTACTCGCATTAGGCCTAATTACAGGTGTGTGCCATCATCAGTCTCGACAGAGTGACAGGTGCAGGTCCTGCCGGGAGCTGCCAGCCTCATAATGGCATGGGGAGGAGTGCGGGCCTCACCTTGAATGGCCTTGCTCTGGGTGGAGAGATGCCAGAGACAAAGCCGCCCACTCCTACCTTTCCTGGGCTGGGGGCTGTCGGGGTGGGGGCTGGGCTGAAGGTCCTAGGTCTCTCTCTTCTCGCCTCCCACCCGGGGAAAGGTGCCACTGGATTTGCAAAACAAGCCGCTGCCTGTGGACAGCCTCAGCTGCCCTGGGCCTTGCCAGCGGCTCCTGAGCCCACTTTCTAAACTAGGATGATGAGAATTACGAGTGCTGGTTTAACACAGACTCCAGAGCCAAGCCCAGTCCAGTTAAACTCAGAGAACCTGAGAGCTGGTCCCGGGAATCTGCTTTTTTAAAGATTTTGCACAGGGCACAAGTGCATGCCAGAGAGAGAGAGAAAGCAAGAAATTGGCCCCCACCATGGGGCACGGTCAGGGAACCTGCATTTTAAGGACCTCCAGGTGATTCTTGGGCACACAGATGTCTCAGGGCTCTGGGCTACAAGGGAGTGAACTCTAGGTGAGGAGGGGAGGGGAAGGGAGGGGCCCACAGAGGGAGGGGGCTGGCGGCAGAGGGCCTCTGGTCCTACTGCAACCCTCATGTAGGCAGGTTGGCAATACCGTCATTGCCTGGTCCTTTTATTTTTATTTTTAACTAATTGGCAAAATTAAACAAAAACAGGTGTTTATGTAAAGAAACTAAAACGTCAAAAATGAGGACAATAAGAAGTAAATTTCCTCCAGCCCCCAACACTTAGCCCCATCCCCAGGCGCCACTGCCCAAGCAGGGGCAGGCAGGGCCGGGCCACGTGAGCACGTTCAGGGCATGGCGCCCCCGCCCCTCTGGTCTGCACAAGGCTGAGCATCCTGCCAGAGAGCTTAACGACATGTGGGGGTGGGGAGGGTCAGGCTGCAAGAGCCCGGGGAAGAGAGCCGCCTCAGCCATGCCCCCCCCACCTGACCCTGCACCTGCCCCTCTGCAAGGAAGACCCCCTGCAGGCCTGCTTCTGCAAGCGAAGGGCAGAGCAGGGAGAGGACGGGGGAGTCCCCTTCAGGGCAGCTTCCCAGGGCCACTCCCTGCTCCGAGCGCCTTGCCAGGGCCTTCCCACGCAGTGTCCACTCAAGATGCAGTAGCCAGGGCTGGTCAATTTCCAGCAGTGGAATAATCTGAGTACATTCCTGACCCTTCTTCCTCTGCATTGCCAGCCACCACTTGGCCAGCCTGCTTGCCCCAAGTGGCACGTTGTCCCAGGAATGTGGTGCTGGACCAGGAAGGGGACGCCAGGTAGGGCTGGCTGGTTTTGCTTAGCCTGTGTCTGAGCTACAGCAAGAAGTGGGTCCGGGGGATCGTGTGGAGAGGGGCACGGTCACCGGTCTCACCCTGTTCCAGACAAGGGTGGCAACCAATGGAGTGTCAGGTGCGACCAGAAGCCACAGAGGTGTCCCCCGAGGAGACGAGCTTTCCAGGCACAAGCCCCTCGCTCCCACTCCATCCACACCCCCACTCTCTAAAGACACCTGCTACTCAAGCTGCAGCCCCCGGGCCAGCACCACTGCACTCGGGACCTCTAGTACCGCAGGAGCTGCACCACCACTAGCCTGGCTGGGCCCGAACCCGCGTTTGATGAGGTCCCAGGCTCTCGTGTGCACAGCACGGTTTGAGATGTGCAGCGGAAGGCTGTAGAGCCACACCTGCAGCAGAGTCCAAAGATCCCCCCCACACACACATCCTGAAAACACATGCTCAGCACCTAGCTTGTGCGAGCGCCCCTAGGGCCTGGCCCTCAGAGGTACCCAGTGAATGATCCAGACCCAGGGCACATGCGAGTTCGAGCAGGTTGGGCGCTGCACAAAGGCATTCCCCACCCACCCCAACAAGCACACGTCCAAGCCGGAGTTGGTGAGTGGGGGCCTATGTTCCAGAGAAGGGGCGATGCCCTTGCTGACCGACCCAGGCTTGCTGGGTCTGATTACAGTGAAGACCTACGGACGAGGCTGGCGACAGTCCTGCCGAGGTCCGAGTCTCACCTGGGTTCTCATGATGGCCTGGATGGCTGCTTCGAACTCTTCCGAGTTGTTGTAGTCCACAGTCCACACGTGGGGCTTGCCGATGAAGTTCTCCGCGTAGGGATGCTGAGAGAACACCTGGCCAGGGCACAGAGACCAGCAGCTTCCCCACTCCGGCCAGCTGGGCTAACGGTATGTGTGCCTGCCCACTGCCCCATCTCTCCCGTGGCCCGTGCTTCAGTCTCCCTCTTGCAGGGGCTGCAGGGGTCCCTGTCTCGGTGCCCCCCTCCGCGTTCACCTGGGGCCGGGGTCCCTCCCACTCACCTCTCTGGAGGTGGGCTTGCCTCGGAAGAACTCGTGGTTGAGGGAGCTGTGGGGTGGGCTGAAGCGGGACTGCAGGAAGATGCAGCCATTGGCAATGGCCTCCAGGGGTGCGGGGCCCTCGTAGGGGAAGCCAAACCCTATGAAGAGCTGAAGAGGGCGAGGTGGTGTGGAGGTCAGGGAGGGCCGGGCCAGCTCAGCCGAGGAGCCCTGGGGGCACGGCTGAGGGTGGGGCATTCACAAAGGCCACAAACCAAGCTCAGAGCATCTTGAACTATGGGCAAGCCCTTCCCCTCTCTGGGCCTTGGTTTCCCTATTTGTGAAATGAGGGAGTCCAATTAAGCATTAGCAATGGCCTCTTCTGGCTCCATCTGGCTGATTCTGGAGGGGAAAGAGCACTGGGTTCAAGCCTAGAAGGCTGCGGATCCCCCAGTGGCAGACCTCGGAGAACCTTCACTCACTCAGCCTAAAAACACATCTTCTGCACCTGACCCGTGCAGGGAATGCTCTCAGGAAGGGTGCTCGATAAATTACTCTGAATCCAGGGCTGCTATGTGAGGCTGTTCACTGCACAAGGGTACTCTCCACACGTGTGTGTGCACACACGCGTGCGCGCACACACACACACACCCTGAGGGAAAAGCTAGGATGAGATCAGGACAGGGCCTGGAGGCTGATGGAACACCCTCCAGCCTCAGCTGCCACTTCAGGGCCCAGCAGCAGGGTTCTGTCCACTGCACCAGCTGCTACTCCAGGGTATAGCTCAGGGGCTTCAGAAGGGGCCAGTCAGGACGAATGGCCCGGTGGAACTGCAGCCAGGACCTGTCAGTCTGCCCAACATCGGTGATCTGAGAGCTGGGCCTGTCCCAGGGGCCCATCACGCTGGATGGGGGGACAGCCCAGTTCCTCTTCCCCATCACTGAGCCTGCCCAGCTCCACTGCAAGATCTCCCCTGCCTGGTGGACATCCCCACCTCCATGCCTGGGCTTTGGCCGGGCCCTAGGAGGGCCAAACATGGAGCTTAAGGCAGCAGAGCACTCCAGGCCATGTCCCCATGTGGAGATGCCATGAGCGGTAGTGGCAGGTCTGGCAGCACGTAGGGGTGGCTTCCCCTGGTCTGCGGCCAACTGGGGTGAGGACAGTGTTGGGTAAGGGGCTCACTTTGGCCTTGCGCAGCAGCTGCTGGAACTCAGGCTGTGGCAGGAGGCCGTGGTTCTTCACAAAGGCTGGGACCTCGGGAGGCCGCTGGCTCTCGTAGTACACGGTGCCATGGATCTCCATGTACTTGTTCAGGATGCTCAGGAACTTCTCCTTCCCCTGGAAGAAGATGAGGAAGAGATGGGAGCCTCACTCTGACCATGGAAGGCAGCGTGGAGATGCCCCTGGTCTGGAAGTCAGAAGATGGAGGGCCAATCTTAGGTTGGCCATTAATCAGTTGTGTGACTGTGGACAAGGCCCATCTCCTCTCTGGTCCCTGATGTCTTTATCTGTGAGTTGCAGAAGATGGACAGGGTCAACAGTTATGGGATTGTTCTTAGCCAAAGAACTGTTTTCTTTCTGAAAGAATCAACCTTTATACAGATCTAAGTGGAGTTCTTGGACTTGCCTGAAGCCCTAATGACCTCCAAGTACCTCTTGGGAGCTATGGAGCTCTCTGGACCCCGGATTATCTATCCATCACTCCTTCTCTCCTTCATCCATCTATTTATCCATCCACCCCTTTCATTCTTCCATCTCTTCATGAACCCAGTCATCCTTCCATTTACCCATCCATCAGTCACGCTATCCATCACCCATCAATCCACCCATCATCTATCCACTCATCTACTATCCCTCCATCCACTCCTTCATCCCATCTGTCCATCCTTCCTTCTATCCAAGAAGGGGAACCCTGATGAAAACTCCACGGTTCAAACTGGAACTTGGAGAAAGAGAGAAATAGAACTAGGCCAGCCCTTACATGGGCCAAATCCATTTTAAACTGTCTTGATCTACAAATTACATCGTTGTCAGAAAAGTCATGACACATTTTTGCATAGAAAAATATGTCTTGACTTTCCTGACAACCCAATATAAGCCCAGAGCAAAAGTAAATCCTCTCTGGAAGAAAATAGTATCATATCTTTGACTTCAAATTATTTCTGTAACTTTTAATATTCATTTTCCAGAACCAAAAAAAAAAAAAGTAATGAAATCTCAATCAAAACTTCAGGAGGCTTTTATGTAGAAATTGACAAGCTGGTTCCAAACTCGTTTGGAAATGCAAAGGTCCTAGAAAAGATAAAATGACTTTGAAAAAGAATGAAGTTCAAAGCAGGCTTATATACCTCATTTCCAGACTTCTTCTAAAGCTACAGCAATCAAGACAGTGGGATATTGGCAGTCGAGAGACACAGAGATCAATGGCACAGAACACAGAGTCCAGAAATAGACCCACACACATACGGGCAATTGATTCTTGACAAAGGTACAGAAACATTTCAGTGGAGAAACGACAGTCTCCTCAATAAACGTTCACAGGACATTGGAGATCCGTGCAAAGAGAGAGAACGAAAGAGAGAAGAAAGAAGTTCAATCTATACTTTATACATACAAGTTAATTCAAAATGAATCAAAGGCTTAAGTAGAAATGGTAAGACTAGAGAAAGCCTAACTTGTAGAAGAAATCATCTGAGAAAAACCTTTGCAACCTTGGGTTAGACAAATATTTCTTGGATATAACACCAAAAGCACAATCCATTAAAGAAAATATTGCACTTCATGAAAAGTAAAAACGTCTGCTCTTTAAAAGATGCCGCTAAGAGAAAGACAGTCACAGATGGGGAGAAAACACTCATAAGACAGGTCTGATAAAGAACATGTCCAGGAAGAACTCTAACTACTTAATACTATGAAAATAACTCAGTCTTTTAAAAGGCAAAAGTTTGAGAAGAGAAAAGATACATGAAAGAAAAATACACATGTAAAAGTATCTTCATCATCACTGGCCATCAGGGAAATGCAAAGTAAAACTGTAAGACACCAACCCATGCTTGTGAGAATGGCTAGAATTTAAGACTGACTATACCAAGTACTGAGGGATTTGAGAGAAACCTGAACTCTCATCCGCTGCTACTAAGACTGTAAAATGGTATGGCTACTTTTCTTTAAAGTTAAACATACTTTTTTATAATATGACCCAGCCATTCTACTCTCAGGTTTCCACCCAAAAGAAATGAAAAAATGATAAATGAATGTTCATAGCAGCTTTATTTGTAATAGCCAAATACTGGAAACAACTCAAAAGTCCTTTTACAGTCGAATAGATAAAGTGTGCTATACCCATACAATGGACTACTACTCAGCAATAAAAAGGAATAAACCATCAATACATGAACAACATAGATGAATCTCGAAATAATCATGCTGAGTGAGAAAATCCAGAAACAAATGAGTAAATAATTCCATTTTTTTAATTATAGAAAATGTAGATTAGTGTAGAGCGGCCAAGAGCAGAGCACTGCTTGCCTAAAGCGGGGGAGAAGAGAAATGACGGGAGGAAGGACAGAGAGAAGACACCGTTGGGGACTGGTAGGTAGATTCATCATCCCGACTGTGATGATTGATGATAGCTTCGTATGAACATCCATGTGAGGGGACTTCAAAAGGTTTACAGGAAAATGGAATTAAAGTAAACGTTTATTTTAGTACAGACACTTTTGAAATCCAGCATGGGTTTTATTACATGCATCTTGCATTTACTTTTTGAAGACCTCTACTATGTCAAAACTTACAAATTGCACACTTTAAGCATTTTTATTTATTGTGCATCAATTACATTGCAATAGCTGTTAAAATAAACTTTTAAATTTTAAAAAGTTAAACACTTCTTTTTTTTTTTAAGTATACAAGGAGACAAGAGTATTTAAATTTAAAAAGAAAAAAAAAAAGCAGACAATAGAAATAGACCTATAGACAGACCAGCTGATAGCATAATGACTATGCCACTGGATTCCCACATGGTCAACTGCAGTTTGCGTCCCAGGCCCAGGTGCTTGAAACTCCTGCCAGGTGCGTGTGCATGTGTGCCCAAAATCCCAAGAGGAAAGTGGAGGAGAAGGAATTGTGGCATGGTCATCCCCCTGGGGGGGGGTGTTTCTTACTTTTGGTCTCTCTTTCTCTCTATCTCTTTGGCAAGTGCACACAGCCTATACCAAAAAATCTCTCTTAAAAAAAAATTAGAGGGACCAGCAGGTGGCATGGTGGTTAAGATACTGGACACTCCCACATGGCCAACCACGGTTCGAATCCTGGACCTGGTGGCTTGCTTTCTCACTTTCTCTCTCTCTTTCTCTGTCTCTCTCTGATCAAATTAAATGAATGAATAAATAAAGTTAAATAATTCTTTTAAAAAAAATTAGATAGACCTATAGAGATTTAGATTCTGTAGTCGATCAGTCAAAGACTCCAAGGCTGAATACAATAGAAAAAAAAAAAGATGATGATTTGAAACAAACTAGAAATAAAAAATATATAATAGCTAAAATTAAAAACTAAATGGATGGGTTTAACAATAGATTAAACTCAAGACAGAATTTACTTTTAATGAATTATCTTTCATAAAGAAACAAGCACCCTTAACAGGATATTACATGGCTAACTCTACCCCATCCTTCCAGTCACCCAGGATCACAGGCACATGTTTGTGTGCCCAGTGTGTACAAGCTGACCCTGGAACTAAACCGCAATCTTCCACGTGGCTTCCTGCATTGCAGTGTTGCATGACAACTGTGCCACAATGGCTGAGCCAAGAGAGAATTCATTCAGTGAGAAAACAAAAGAAAATATCCAGAGTGAAGCACGGAGAAACAAAAGGGTAGAAATGATTCAAAACAAGGTATGAGACGAGCAAAGAGGACATACTGAAGATCTAATATATGTGTAGATGGAGTCCCAGAAGTAAAGGACAGAGAGGCGAGAGCAGAAGCAATGTTTAAAAAGATAATGGCTGAAATTTTTCTAAAACTAGTGGAAGATCAAACCAAATTCTCAAAAAGATCTCGAACTACATGTAAGATAAGTCAAAAGAAAACTACACCAAGGCAAAAAGACAAAGAGGGACAATAATATGCCTTAGAGCTGATTTGTCAACAGAAATGATAGAAGCCAGAGACAGCAGAGTTTTCATAATGCTGAGAAAATCACCATTGAGCTAGAATTCTGTATAGAATAAACACAGAATAGAGGCGAAATAGAATAAAGGCAAAACAGCAGCATTTTTAGAAAATAAGAACAGAGCCAAACCAGACTAAGGGTGTTATTTATGTAGAAGGATGTTCATCTCAAATGTAATCGCAGAGCTTTAAAAAGGAACGCAGAGTGATAAAGGGGCTACCACGGGGCCAAATCTGAAGGAATGCTGACTTCACAAAGCAGTAATAATGATGCACTGTGAGGGCGCAAAACATATAGGAAGAGTTAAAACCCAGTAAAAGCAGACACAAGAAGTCCTTAAAATGCTCACAGAGAAACGTGTATGATAAAAAAACTATGCATGGATTTTACAATTTTTGCGTGCCAAAATAAACTCATACTTTAATTTCATTTTCTACTTTTTGAAGTATGTGTGTGTGTGTGTATCTGTATATCTCTCTGTGTGTGTGTGTATCTGTATATCTCTCTGTGTGTGTGTGTATCTGTATATCTCTCTGTGTGTGTGTGTATCTGTATATCTCTCTGTGTGTGTGTGTATCTGTATATCTCTCTGTGTGTGTGTGTATCTGTATATCTCTCTGTGTGTGTGTGTATCTGTATATCTCTCTGTGTGTGTGTGTATCTGTATATCTCTCTGTGTGTGTGTGTATCTGTATATCTCTCTGTGTGTGTGTGTATCTGTATATCTCTCTGTGTGTGTGTGTATCTGTATATCTCTCTGTGTGTGTGTGTATCTGTATATCTCTCTGTGTGTGTGTGTATCTGTATATATCTGTGTGTGTGTGTATATATACACACACACACACAGATATAACCCTAAAATCTCACACAGCATTTACCCTTTATACATATGCACCCTCTGATACTCTTTTTTCCTATTGTTTTGATGCTATTCTATTTTACTTTGAAGGGCAGGTCAAGACTCTCCATTGTCCGAAGGTCACCACCTGCAGTCCGGACAGTTCCTCCAGTGGTAAGGACGTGGCCTTTCCCTCCTTCCAGCCTCACTGCTGGCCCCTCTCTTCTGCTCCCCGGGACTATCAGCCTATAAGCCTTAGCCGGGGGCAAGGCTTGCTTTCTGGGCGGCCCAGAGTAAGGCAGGCCTGCGTGACCCCCAAATCACAAGCAGCCTGCCCTGGCCCCCAGCTCCTGCTCACTGCAACGATGGTAAATTAGCCCCTCCGCGCGCCTCCTCACTTCTCTGACGCCTGGTTCCCCTGAACTCCGGACCGTATCTGCCCCAAGCTGCTGCTTGCATTTTTCTCTCCGTCCAGTTAACTCTGACTCCCTCCTGGCATGAAAACCAGAGCAAAGTCATGTTTTTTTGGGAAGCAGCTTTTCCGAGGTCGCTCACTCCCTGCACAGGTTTGCTCCGGGCTATCACAAGTTCCTGAGCAGAGATAAAGCCTCTCTCCTGCCAGACTAATCACCTCCCCGTCTTGGGGCAGGTTCCCAGCAGTGTTTCTGGTTCAGGCAGAGGCTGTGTTCCATCACTCTCTGACTGTACCCTTCCCCTCGCCCCGCACACAAGGGCTTCTTCTGGCTCCCTGACAGCTGTTGTGACTGGCTTCAGTAAAATCACCGGCAGTCACCTCCCCAACCCCGTCAGTGTCAGCGGGCGCTGGTACCTCGGCAGAGCTCCCTGCCCAGATTCCTAGTCCAAAGCTGCTCTCTGCCACTCTCCAAGGCTTTCTAAAGAGTGTGTGTGTGTGTGTGTGTAGTGGGGGTCTGCCGGGCTTCAGCTTCCTGGCTCTGGACTTAGACGTGGGCTTGATGCCAGCTCTGCCGCTCGCTGGCTCTGGGCTTGCTCTCTGACTGCTGGGCCTCGGTTCCCTCGCTTGTACCCACCTCACACTGAAGGTGGCATGTGAACACGGAGCACAACGGCAGCACTCATAAGCGCTTGGTGGAGCGCAGCCTTGGGGGTGCACACAGACTGCCATGTCCCCCCACAAGTCTCCCCCACCTGAGCCTGGCACACGGCTGCCTGGAGTAAAGCCACTCCCCAGCGCCCCTTGAAGCTGGGCGTGGCCATGTGCGTGAGATCTAGCCAGTAAGCAGCATGAGGTCAAAAGTGACCCTGAGCCCCTGTCCTGCCCTGCCCCACCCTGTCCCCCTGTACATCCAGTGACCCAAGAGTCTGTGACCATCACAAACCACGGGGCAAGCCTGGGTGGACACTGAACGTGGCAGGTCACCAAGGTGAGACCTTGAGCAACACCACTCCAGCCCATACTGCTCAACCCCCTCCAGAACTCGTGACCAGGGAACACGGTATCTATCCACCTTGCTCAAACCACTTGGCTGACCTCCTGTAACAGCTGGACCGAATCCCCCTGTGCCGCTGAGGACAGTTAAATACGACATCCTGGAACGGCTTGACACAGACATGGTCCCCCATACCAGCCCCTTCACTACTGGCCTTTACGTTGGCCCACCGGTAACCTGCCAAGTCAATACCCGCCCTCCTGGGGTCCTTCCCACCCCCACAGCCCTGCCAAGTGGGACCTCAACCCCAGGGACCTGCCTCTCCCTGCAGGGGGGCCAGGCAAGGCTGCTCCTCGGATTCTGCTGTCCCTGTCCTCCTCCCAACTCGGTCCAGCCCCAGGAGTCACAACCCAGAAAGCCTGAGTCCAGGGAGACCCTGCTGAGCCTCTGGAGAAGGGGGAAGCAGGTGGGGAGGAGTAGGAGGGAGGGTGCTGGTCTGTTTCCGTACCTGGAGCTGTCTCATGCCAGGGGAGTGCAGGGAACAAAGGAGAGAGAAAGGTTAGTGACAGGTTAGAAGGCAGCACCCCAAAGGCAGCGGGTTCTCATCCCACCTGAGCCTCTCCTGCCTCCTCCACCGTCCCCTCCCCGCACAGTGCCCAGGTCCAGCCTAGCCCCCACTGCTGGGCGTGCGGGTCACTGTCCTGCCCTTCAGGAGGTGGGGTTGGTCCCACTTCCCCATAAAGTAATGATTAGGGTTTCCTGCAGGGGCGGGGAGGGGACAAGCTATAGCCCCCAGGCTGGGTGTCCTAAAGGGCAGTTAGCGACCTTTCTCCTGAACCACTGCTGAGGGCACTCCCTGCCTCCAGTGCTGGTGGTCAGCGGGGCCCAGGGCCACGTGGAGGTGCTGGGCGGCAGGCGGGGTGTGCAATGCCGCTCACCTTCCAGATACTCGCCTCCTTGCCGTAGACCACGGCCATGTTGCCCGCCTTGCCGCCCTTGATGAGCTGCTTCTCGGTCTCGTTGAGCTCCTCGGACACAAAGCCCATGAAGGAGTTGTCCGGGGTGTGTGCTGCAGCCCGACCGTGGAGGGAAGGGGTTACCACGCAGCAAGGGCACACCCGGCCCTCCCTGGGCAGAGGTCAGAGGGGTGCCCTCAGACAGGAAGGGGAGGGCGGCGGTGGGGCCTGGGGGCAGGGAGGGTCCATGTGCCCAGCCTGGCCACCTCCTTTCCCAGGGGCCACCAAGAAATGGGGCAGAAACCTGTAAGGTCATGCAGGCTCTGCTGCAGTCAGACGAGGACACGGAGGCCAAGGGCCTCACCAGCTGGGACTCAGCTGGCCTCCGCCGACAGAGCCCGCGTCCCAGGCGGGTGTTTCCCCGTCACTGCCGTCGCTGCCACCCTGCCCAGGCCGCCCACCCCTCTGCTGGGACACGGGGCCCTGCCCCTCCAGACTCTCCCTTGCTTTACTGTAGTTGCTCCTCTTGAGCTGTCCTGTTTATCGAGGGCACATCCAGTCCCTCCTCTGCACAAAATCCATCAACCACCCCCGGCCCCTTCACAGTCTCCAGGCTCTACTCTCTCCTCCTTTGAACCGACTTCCCACCCCCTGCCCCCAGACGGGAACACCTTCCTACCCC